GTACTCGAGTATTCTTTCCGCATATGGTATGTAGGGGCGCCCCACATATGGATCAACAAGCTAAATGAAACAATCCAGGAATGGCGCTCGCGGACTTGGTGCAGGAGGCCCAAGAGCCGGTAAATGAAATCTATGGGGATGAATCGCGCGGCAGACTCTTTGACCGGCTATCACTGCTCCAAGATAAGGTGCACCGCCAGCTAAGCGACCAGGGTACAACAGATGGCGACATATCATACCAGAAGTATCTCAATATGAGATATCAAGGAACGGAGACGGCCATCATGGTCTTGGAGCCAGCAGATGGCGATTTTAAGGAGGAGTTCAAGAGGATGCATCTGCGGGAGTTCGCCTTCTTGTTTCCCGACGAAAGGACTATCATCGTGGACGACGTACGTGTCCGAGGTGTTGGGTCTTGCGGCGGCTTGGAGAGGGCTGATGGGCAAAAACTCGGTCAAGAATTGCAAAATGCGTCTTTCAGTGTCCTATCGCTGGATGCTGCTGAACAAACGGTATGTCTTCTAGCTTTCACTGCTTGATCGTTATGGAACACTAATCAGTCACAGACAAGGGTCTATTTCCCAGGATACGGGTCATGCCCTGCGCCTGTGTTTCTCCTGAATAAATTGCCCCCGCTTACAGTTATTGCCGGACCGGCCATTATCATCGACCATACGCAAACTTTGGTGGTTGCTCCCGGGTCAGAAGCTAGGATCTTGAGTAACCACGTGGTTATCGAGATCAAAGACGCATCATCTGCCCGGATCATACGGGATTCAACATCTGTGGATAGCATCCAACTCTCGGTTTTTGCTCATCGCTTCATGAGTATCGCTGAACAGATGGGTCGTGCTCTACAGAAGACAGCCGTGTCATTGAACATTAAGGAGCGCTTGGATTTTTCATGTGCATTGTTCGGGCCGGACGGTATGTTCCTACACTATGAAGACCAGAGAATGAAACTAACTGTGCGCAGGTGGACTGGTCGCGAACGCACCTCATGTTCCAGTGCATCTTGGCTCCATGAGCTACGCAGTCAAGTACCAGCACGATCTTCACAAGGGAAAGCTTGTACCTGGTGATGTTCTGGTGGCCAACCACCCTGAAGCAGGCGGTACACACTTGCCAGATATCACTGTGATAACTCCAGTCTTTGAGAAGACTGGAAAGCAGGTCGCGTTCTACGTTGCCTCTCGCGGCCACCACACCGATATTGGAGGTTTGGGAGGTACATCCATGCCACCGAATTCCACTGAGCTATGGCAGGAGGGTGCTGCGATCAGATCATTCAAGCTTATTCATAAAGAAAATTTTGACGAGCGTGGTATCATCGAGATTCTTCTTCGTCCTGGCGATTACCCGGGATGTACAGGGAGCCGACATGTGTCGGACAATATTTCCGACCTCAAGGCGCAGGTAGCGGCAAACCACAAGGGCATGACGTTGGTGCAAGGCTTGATCGAGGAGTACACTCTGCCCGTAGTGCAGCTGTACATGAAGGCTATCCAGCTAAACGCTGAACGGGCCGTCCGGCATCACCTTCGAGAAACTCTAGTCCGGATGGGATCTCGCCTGGTCGCGGAAGACAGAATGGACAATGGCTCATTGATTAAGCTCACTATTGATCTTTTCCGTGATGGTTCCGCTGTGTTTGATTTCACCGGAACCGGCTGCGAGCTGCTCAGCAATATCAATGCGCCTCCAGCCATCACCCACTCGGCCATTATATACACCTTACGTCTCCTGATTGGGGACGATATTCCCTTGAACCAAGGTTGTCTTGCACCGATTAACGTTATCCTGCCCAAGGGCACCTTCCTGAACCCATCTGCAGGTCCTGCTGTCTGCGCTGGGAACACCCAGACATCGCAGCGAATTGTGGATGTCATCCTCAAAGCATTCCGAGCCGCTGCTGCCTCCCACGGCTGCATGAACTGTATTGGGTTCTTCGGTGAGGGTGGAAAAGACGCCGAGGGCAACAAACTCAGTGGATTTGCTTACGCGTTTGGCGAAACTATTTGCGGCGGCTCAGGAGCAACATCTTCTCGGTCAGGGGCATCTGGTGTGCATACACATATGACCAACACCAGGATCACCGATCCGGAGAGCTTGGAGAAGCGCTACCCGGTTATTCTGCGGGAATTCACCATCCGTCCGGGCACGGGAGGTAAGGGGATGTACAAGGGCGGCGATGGTGTGGTGCGAGACATCGAGTGCCGTGCTCCTCTGAGTTTCAGTGTCATCACGGAGCGCCGCAGCGTTGCGCCTTATGGAATGAGCGGAGGTGATCCCGGACGGTGTGGAGCAAACTATTGGGTTCGGAAAGAGAAGGTAGGAGAAAAGGAAGTATTACGATGGGTGAACATGGGAGCGAAGAACATGGTGAAAATGGCGGCAGGCGATCGCTGCGTCATCCACACCCCTGGAGGAGGGGGTTGGGGGTCGCCTGAATTGAGTGGAGATTACGGTGCCATCGGAGTCGTTACTCAGTACCCTCGGGCGGCGGGAAGCGTTGCGGCCCGTATGGCGGCGCAGGAGAGTTCTTCATAATATGCAGGTTATTGCATCGGCAGATGTCCAGGTTCCACATCTTGGGAGGCTATTTGATGTTCTTTCGGAGGCTATCTGATGGTTTTTTTTTTCGGCGGTTATTTGAAGTTTCGTCGGGCGGCCATTTGATATTTCGTTCGGAGGCTATCTGATGATTTGTTCGGGCTACGAGCGCGCAGGCGACGATCAGTCCAGCCTACGTACTTCCTCACTAGTTATATAGACTGAGTTAATGATTATTCAAGTAATGGTTTAAAGCAACTGGACGTGCCAAACTTTATATCGAATTGACTTTGAACAACTTCCTGACACCTTGATGACGTCACATCCAACCCTACTATCGTCTCCCAGTATATTCTCCATCGCAATTCCACACAATCACACTTAGCCTCGTCCACATCTCCTATACACATTCCCGATCCCATACTTATACAATACCCAGTACATAAAACCACACACCAAAATGCCCCCACCACCGCCCCTCACCCCGATCAACGCGGCATCGAACCGCACCCCGACCTCCCCCACAACACCGCCCACGAAGTCGACTACACCCCCCACCCAGAGAACTCCGTGCCCCTGCCCCCATCCCGGCAATCCATCCAAGACCACATCATAGCCCTATACTGCGGCAGTGCCTCCGCCGAAGACATGAGCGTCTACGCAGAGCAAGCCGTCTACGACGATCCATTCAGTTACTGTGATACACGGTAGTAGCGCATCTCCCCATCACCCATCCCCCATAAAACTCTATACTGACAACTAGGGGGATCCGGTACTTAGGTACAAAATCGCCGGCCAATGGTACGGCATCCCGAAGCTCTTCAGCAAGAGTGAGAATCTAGGGACGGAGGTGGTGTCGAATACTGACGATGAGATGGTCTGGAAGCAGAGACAGAGGTATACTTTTCGGGGGATTGGAGCGTCCCGGACGGAGGATAGTTTGGTGAGTTTGAGATTGCAGGGTGGGGAGGATGGGGAGAGAGTGGTTTATCATAAGGATATGTGGAGTGAGAAGGATTATAATCATCAGGGGTTTGGGGCGTTGATGAAGAAGGTTAATGGGTATGTTGGTTTCTTTATTTCTTTGCTGTGCTTTGGGGAGGTGGGGTGGAGAGTAATTGGGCTAATGGTTCGGTTTGGTTTAGGGATAAGTTGACAGGGATTACGAGGCCGCCGGAGGAGCTTTAGGGGGGATTTTTCTTGATAGTGGGATGGGATGGTGTTGGTGTTAGTGTTGGGGTCTGGAGTATGGGTGGGGAGGTCAATGTATTGTGCTATTGGGTTGATGGGATAGTCATTGATGAGTGGGTATGTTGATAAAAATGTATAGTAGCGGAGTATAAAGGAATCCTATATTTTTGTGTTTCTGAGCCAATAATGTCCACTGTTACATCTGTCAAAGATACAATCCTCCTAGACGCTGTAGCCATCAGATTTACGGGTTTGTTAAGTTCAATATACATAATTCATCGATCATATGTTCATATATAATAGTGTCACACGCTCAATCAAAAATAAAGATAAACATTGCATGAAACACATCACACACCCTTGCAAGTTATGCATAGTTACATTGCGATGTGCAACTTGCTTTTCTCAGACTCCACATGAGCTACACTGTCGAGGAATCCTGTTAGTCACCACACTCAGACGCCGGGCCACCGGAAGCGATGCATGTATGTCACCATTATACTATTTCTTTAAGAAACCAGCACCCCTATCACCACTACTAAAGTACACAGCATGCATCCCTACAGATTCATACCCTCTCACCAACAACAGCACACAAGTCCCTCCCAACAACTTCTATCGCGCGCAAAGCATAATGGACCCGAATATTCCCATGAATGAAGTAATAATAACCCACCTGCAGAGCACGAATTCACACAAAGAAATCCCAGAAAGAACTTAATCAAAGGCTAGGCGGACGTAAGGTTCGGCGCTATGTCCCGCCTTCGAAAAAGCAAACAAGGATATGTATTGACTGTGGCGTTCCGCAGTATGCAGGATGGGCCAACATGATGTAATCTGATCGGTGTGGTGGGTTAAGTTGCGTTCGGCTGTTCTCGGGAATATACAGGTACTTTGATTTATGGTGTAGGAAAGATGGGCAGGGTATTTACGAAGACGTGGTTGTTCATTTTATTGCGTTGAAACTGTGTATGGGTTAGTGTTGAAGTGTTGAAGTTCGGGATCCATAGATTAGAGTATGGGTTAGGGACAGAGGCTAAGTACACGGTCGCATGACATGATTCTTCGCCCTATATTGGTATAGACTCATGCTGTATGTCTAGTGATGTGTGCGCGCTAGACATATTCGGATCTCTTCGTCCCTGCATGCGACTTGTACAATGCACTACTATAGTAGTCCGAAGAAATGAAATAGTTGTAGTAGGAACAAATTGCGCGAAACATGCACTTATGGTATATTGCAAAATATTTATACCCCTGCCATCACTGCATTACTATTCCTATACAATTACCCTACAACACCTTCACCCTCACCCCCTGAGTCCCCGGCTTCGGATGCGGAAGAAACATATCCCGATAGACATCGACTGACTCACGTCCCGTCTCGAAGAGTTCAAACTCAAAGTTCCGATACACATTCGCCAGCGAAATGTACATTTCCGCGTAGGCGAGGTTGATACCAAGGCACGACCGGGTGCCACGACCAAACGAGACGAGGTATCGTGTGAGTTTCCGCCCGTCTGGCGCGACAGGGTCATCGAGCCAGCGCTCGGGTCTGAAGGTAAACGAGTCCGGAAAGACCGCTTCGTCGTGCGAGACTGAGTAGTTGTCCATGCTGATGATGGTGCCTGCCGGGATGGTCCAGGTCTTGTAGATGAGGGGGAATTTGTCGCTGACACGGGGTGAGCGTTGCACGATGCCGTAGGACATGCGGATGCCTGTTCGTAGGTGTTGTGGTTAGTTGTGGTACCAGTATGCAGCAAGTCGGAAGGGAGAAAATGCGCACATTCTTGGATACATCCCGTCAGGTAGGGGAGCTTTTCTAGCTCACTCAGGGGAGGGAAGTTGGTCGGATCGGGGATCGCTGTTATCAACTCTTCGCGCAGACGCTTGTATATTGACGGAGTGCTGAGAATGTGGTAGCTGGCGACGGCCAGAGCATATCGCGTGGTTTCGAAGCCTGCTCCGATGACGGTAAAGGCTTCCTCGCGGAGTCGTCGCAGGGTCAGCTCTTCAGGTGGCAAGCCACCTTCTAGCATAGCGTTGAAGACAGTTTTGCGTTGAGACTCTTTCATCGTCCCGTATTCTTTGCTTCGGAGGATATCCGTGATTTGGGATGCCATTTCCTGTTATAGTTTAGCAGAGACCCTGGCATTTAGTGGATATGTATAGAGACTTACTCTGTTGTAATGATTGATGGACTTCAGGCCAGGATTCATTGTCTCCACAAACTTCTGAGGAAGAGCATTCATAATAACACCCACCCAAGGGAACTGGACCAGAACATGCACCATGTCGAGTAGATCAAACATGGCCTGGATGAAGACAGATCGAAAGTCCGGTGCATTGATGAAGCCATAACCGTCGTTGAAGCAGTAATGAACAATGATATCAGACGCAATACAACCCCACATCCAGTCGAGACGCAGAACCTTCCCAGTGCCTTGGTATTCGCGGCGAAGCCGGTCGCAGAGCTTGTACAGCTTGTCCTGCATCATAGGGGTAGCATTGGTAATGGCCCTCTTGGAGAAGAACGGGTTGAGCGCAGCACGTCTGGGCTTATGAGCCTCATGCTTTGTGGTCGAAAAGGTACCCTTGGCATTGTCGAAGCGATACTGGAGATGTTCTGGCTTATTCCATGGCAGGGAATTGGAGAACATCTCCTCGAAGAACGACGAGTCCCTGATGTGAATCTCATTCGGGCTGATGCGAATGATGGGTCCTACAGAATGTAGTGACCATGTCAGCTTGCTAAGTTTCCTTGCTCTGGCATTGTCCATGATCTCGTGACTCACCATACTTGTCATGCAGTTTGTGGTACTGGAACAAGAACTGCCCCCCGGGCGACTTGAAAACCTCATAGTAGGTTTCATACCAGTATGTCAAAGCAGCCAGCTTGGGACCAGGAAATTTGGCCAAAGGATGGAAAGTGAGTCGATAGATTCCCAATCCGACGGAGTAGACAATCAAGGTGGCCGTCAAGGCAGCACACAAGGCAATAGGGGAGTCAGCGACCGATGAGAGGCCGGCCACCAGGCCTTGGATCAAGCCCATGATGCCAAAGGAGATACATGAGGAAAGAGGAGATCCCCGAACGGTAGGGATCCTGGCGGGACGTGCAGATATATCTAGATAGGCGTTTGTGGGTAGCAGGGGGACCGACCGACAGACAGACAGACAGCCAACATAGTTGTCCCGAGGGCTTGGGTCCGCGCCAGAAATCCCGGTCACGGATTCTGCAGTGGAGTTTGACAGGCCCCCTTTAGTGGACCGGGCCCGTGCGAACTATGCCCTCTAGTTGGAGCGTCAATTGGTAACCATCCAGGGCTGGACGGACGGCAGCGGCAATGATTCGAGCACATCTGAAGAATGGACCCCGCTGATAGACAGTCGCTGCCTTTTCTGCAACGCGAGGAGCAAGAACCCGAAGTTGGTGGTTGGCCAGGCTGAAGGGGACGATGGGGCGGATCGGCCGCCCGGCTGCTGTAAGCCCTGAGGTCAAGTACTTTGTGCATAATTCTCACGCATCGCCATGACAAATCTACGTTGAGTCTGTTCAATAACGAGGATAAACCTTAAGACTCAAGGTCGAGGCCACTGTGGGCAAGGCATCCAAAGGTACTCCCAAGGCACCATGACGGGAATCCGGTTTTGAGCCAACTTTGGGCCTTTCCCGCGACGGTGCGGGCCCGGGAATTTTGCCCTCCACTGACCCTTGGCTGTCATACAGCAGACAGTGGTACCTCTCGCCTATAGACTCTCGCTAGTCGCTAGAGTCTTAGGAAGGATGTTAGAGTTTGGCTGCTTTGACGTGCGGCCGTCCAAGCTGAAAGCTACTTCATACTTGGGCGGACCCAATTACTATTCCCTATCCAGACTAAGATAGCCGGGGTGTTCGCAATTCCGAAGTCAGTCTGTGTCTCTCTCACCCACACCCCTCAGACTCAGCCGGGGATCCACCATTCTGCAGCGATACGAAGTGGATCCCCTCCCAACATCTCACCAACAGGGGCTGTCCATTCTGCTGGTTTTCTCTAATTTCCTCTCCTGAATGGCTTCTTCCCTCCATCACAGTGGAGACGCCTGCGACTTGGGGTTCCTACTCTTTTAGGGTAAGTCCCGGGGTTTCCGTCCCGCGTTGACTGTTTACTGATTTTGTATGTTGCACTTCACAGTGATGCGAATGATGTGCCAACCTCCTACCTGCATAGGGGATGTACTACCCACATCCGACGCACTTCTGCACGGCCCAAAAGAATCATCATGCACTCCCTGATTCGTCATCCCCATTCCCCCCCCCCCCCCCCCCCCAAAGGACAACACCGCCAGCCTGGGAGAGGCCGGGCTTAGACCCCGACCAGTCACACTCGATAATAAGCTTCACCGGCATAATAGCTAGTCAGTGGGGAGAACCTCTTCTCCCATCCCGAGGCTGAGACCGGAGACCTCCAGGCTCATCTTAATCAAAGAAAGTCCGATGGGTCCATTCCCCACCCTTCGTCGGGGTTGACCTTCTACTGCATTCCTCGGAATCCCGTCAATGGACAGAGTGGTGCCATGAAGTCTGACCGCCAACGTCCACCCATAACATTGGCGGACGGAGGGCTGACCCATCCTATCCTGGCACAGAAGGCCAATGCTCTTCCACTGATTATGCTAGCACAGAAGGAGCTGTTACATGCAATTTCCTTTCCGTGTCTGCACCAACAATCCGTGCCACATCTCTTCCAAAGTTGCCTCCTCATCGTCCCTGTAATAGGGGCATCTGACAAGAGTCACAGCGACATCGAATTTTTCCTTCAATGACCTGCAGGTATATCACATCTGGAAGCTTGCAATTTGCGATTGTCAGATCAAGAGGCCACCGTGGACTGGTAGAAGCGTCTCTCACGAAAGTACTCGAGTCCAGAACAATCTACTTGGCTAGCGTGGTAACCTAAATCTCGCAGCAGGCCAATGAACGCTCCAACCCCTCATCTTCATGCGTAACGGATGCATTCCCCACTGCTCGTCTCTGCAGAGCAGTCATACCATGTGCCCTCCTGTAGTTTTCCCGTTCACCCGTTGCACGTTGGAACGCATGTGTACGGATCGTTCCGATGTGCGAATGTCGGTCATACGGCGGTTGCCTATCCACCGAGCCGGAGACCGGCAAAGCCATTGAGGACGTTCCCATGACATGTGGAAGGATGCCTTGAGTTGATGATACGTAGGACAACTGCCTGACTCATGGATTCTGTTGCCTCGCACATGTCGACATGGCATCACAGAGCCAAATATTTCCAGCTACCCGGTGCCCGGTTACCTGAGATTCTTGGGTTTTACTGACGTTTTGTGAGAGCAAGGCGCGACTAGGAATTGCTGTGTCGTCTGTGGTGACACTAGTCGGGAACGCAGCTGTCGTGGAATAATCTCACGCCTTCTAAGATTCTCTACTCGCTAGCCTGTGCTAATTTAACTGAGACTGCATTCCCCGACGAATGATTCAAGTCTACTAACGCTCAAAGCTGCCTACTGTTTCGAATGCTGTTGCCTTTCCGTGACGGCGACCTGTTCGAAAAGCGCTATACCTAAAGCCGATCGGAGATAATTCCAAAACTCTTCCTTTAGGTTTAGATCGGAGACTAACTCAACTTCGGGGAGAGACTGCTTGTGATAATGGCTGCGGTGAAACGACACGATGCAGTTGGGACCCGTAGCCTCATTTAGGCTGCTCCTGGGAAGGATCAAAGTCCCCGAATGCGTCGCCGACTCCCTCTCCGCGCAAATACTGCAGCGGGGTCTGGAAGCCCACAAACCCAATATTGGGACTGGATACCTCGTATCCCATCACTTTCTGAGCCTTTGAAGACCAGGACAGAACTTCTTCAGCTGTGTTGGCAAGATAAACATTCTCCTCCTGTCGATGGAATCCGCGCGTGAAAAACATGCCATGTACTACCCGTCGCTCATTTTGTGTGATGTTCGCGCCCCCTGCATGGTACAGTCCTCCCAGCATCACCCAGCAGTCGGTCACATCCAACTCCGCCGCGACGGCCTCGTCCAGCTTGGGTGCCCGGTCGGAACCCCACAGGTGACTACCGGGGATGGCGATGGTGGCACCATTTTCGACTGTTGTCTTGATCCCGGGAACCATGAAGGCCATCATTACATCCGAGCCCACCCGATAGCCCGTACTGCTCTGGTCTTCATGATCTACATGAAAGTTCTTGTCGTCACGATGAAGCCGCTGTGCCCTAGCACCAGGCCCTATGTCAAATGTCATCGCGATCGAGCAGATCGCCTCGCTGGTATATGTATGCTTCGTCTCTCCATAGAAGTTGGAAGTTGTCTTATCAACAAACCTCGCTGTCAAAGCACGAATGAGCGGATCGATCAGCCAGTTTTCCCGGGCAGTTTTGCTACGGCCTGCGAGATTCGCACAGCGGCGTGTTTCAGGTGGAAAGAGGTCACCCTGATTCTGTTAGACGGTGCAAGGGTTCGAAAGGGTCTGTCCACCCACCTTCCAGGGCTTGTCGGCATCAAGGTAAGGTTGCACTTCCTCGTTGACCTGCTTTATAGTTGCCGCATCGGTGAATTCCTTGATGATACAGCAGCCATCCTTAATGATAGCTTGGATGATGGCCTCCACGTCGGTCCGGTCGATGCGTTGAACTGGAGATTGCTTGACAGCCATAACAGCAAAAGCAGACTCTCGAGGTGGTATAACACGATGGCAGTCTGCATATTGAGCGGTAGAACGGCTTCTTATCTGTTCTATTGGCAGCTTGGTTCAAGTATGTGACCCCGAAGCGGAGTATCTCCAGGCTGTTTTGGCAGGTGGAGCCGCAGTCGCCAATCATCCTACAGCGCTTCTCCGCATCTGGCTGTCTTGCGACGACAAGAATGGCAGTCCGATCCCTAGGTGTCCCAAGGTGATAACATATCATAGGCAAACCCCGCATGTACAGCCAATCATCATGGATTCAAGTATCGCAACCATCCTGACTTGTCGAGATAGTCTGGCTCAAGCTTCCTACAACTCTGGGAGGCTAGATACGCCGCATTATGGCATGTAATGGCGCTTGTTTCCACTGACAAGCCAGAAAGGTGAGATGCGACCGAGGCCGGTCCCATGTTCGATGTGTGAGAAGCGGAAGCTCGACTGTGAGCGCATATCGGACCCACCGCGCTTACTTTGGCTACATCCTTACCCTGGCCTCATCCACGAGACTGCCTAGGAAGAGCTACATGCACGCAGGCTGCCTTTGTTTAGCGCTATTTTCTTGAGGTGGTAGCTGGTTTAAGGTACAGTTACTGACATTAATGGTCTAAGACGCCAAGCTGCCCCAAATGCCTTGGAGCTGCTGTCACTCACAGACGCTACCCGCTTGCATCCATCTTGGATGAACTGGACAAACAAGGGGTTCAGTATGGGCACAGCTACATGATGGGCAACGGGCTGTTCCATATATTCCATCAGGTCCTTGTTTAGAATCCGCGCACCGTCGAACGACAATATAAACCCCAGGGACTGGCATTTCTCACGGCACATACTGGACTCGACTATGTCCCAGGCATCGAGCCGTTGGCACTTTATGACACGGTCCTCCAGGCTGGACAATTCAATTTGCCTATTGCCATGTATCCCCTGTCACCTTATCCAGGCAGTTCAGTAGCCCTTAAATCATTACCTTTCATCGGTGCGTAAAGGGCATCAATCCGCCAATATTACAACCATATGTTCAGCAAGGGAACACCTTATCTAAGTTCAACAAGCAGACCCAAAAAGCTGTGAATTGATCTTCGAATACATAATGGCCGAGAGCTGCGGTGTATGAAGCACTTGAACTTAGACAAGGCAGGCTTCATTAGGTGGCTAGAATGATCTGGGGAGAGCACCGGGAACCGTATGTTTACCGTGGCCCTTAAAATTTGTCCAGGGGGTAGGCACGTTCGAGACCACCCTGGAATGCACAACATTCCGTGGACTAGGATCCCGAGAAGACCTGATGAGCTAAGGATGGTTGTTTTGAGTTAACTCGGAACGAGCACCTGCGAAACCCCTTATCTTGCCAATCGTTCCCGTGCATTAGCAGCAACCAACTGAGGTCCGAATCCCCACCTAGCTGATTATTGATAGGTCAGGAGCGAGTCGGATCAACCACTGCTTGCCTCTTATCAGTGCGGAGATCTTCGTTCGGGAAGGTGAGAGCGAGTTGATTTACCGATAGTCACATATCCTATATGCAACACCCTATTTTATAGACCATTTAGTTTCCCTTGCTTTGGCGATCGCTCAGTCGCCCACGAATTCGATTACTACTTATCTTGCTGTCATGGAATCCCAATTGAAAGTTGTCAATGGACCAGATAGCTCCTCAAAAGTGTGCAGTGAGAAACCACTGGATCTCACGCTCACACATTCGGTGGACGAAGGTCAGATAGACTCCGACGTGGAAGGATCAGGGACACTGCATCGAACATTAACTCCACGTCTGATTCACGTATGCACCTATCTCACGACCCAAACCACACAATATACTGATCACGACAGGTAATATCTCTGGGTTCCAATGTCGGAAGTGGTTTATTCATAGCGACGGGGAAGGCACTAGGCGAGGGAGGCCCAGGAAACATGTTCATAGGCTATTTGATCGTCTGCATCGGAGTCTGGGCCAACTTGCAAACATTGTCCGAGATGACGATTGCGTTTCCCACTTCAGGCAACTACATCGACTACGCCGATCGGTGGGTTGACCCAGCATTGGCTTTTGGTGCTGGCGTTGCAGAATGGCTAGGTGAGTGGCCGAGCTCAGACATTCCAACGGTCATGTGAACTCATCTATTGCTAGGATGGACGACGGTGTTTGCGTCCGAAGGGACCTTCTTCGTGCTTCTAGTCAACTTCTGGGCCGACGGGGCCATTCCTGAAGCAGCTTTGCGTGAGTCTCCTTCAGCCTATACGCACGGTACCTGCTTACAACTGTAGTCACGATATACCTGGTTATCTGTTTGGCGGTCTTCTTGGTGCCGAACAAGTATTTCGGCTGGCTTGAATACTTTGGCTCCTTAGTAAAGGTGCTACTATTTCTCTTTATCACCATAATTTCACTGGCGATAATCGGCGGTGCCGGTCCGTCAGGGTATGTACGAGATGGAAGTACATGGACAGAGCTCCCAGCATTCAAGAATGGTTTTGGTGTGAGTACCCCTTGCAAATCGTGTTCCGATCAGAGCTCAGCCATAGATACAGGGATTTGCCAACGCCGCATTACTTGCTATCTGGGCCACTGGTGACCAGGTCTTCATCGGAGTCATGGGCGGCGAAGCCGAATCGCCTCGCTACTCGGTGGCACACGCAGCCAACCTAGTTCCATGGCGAGTAGCGGTCTTCTATCTCGTTTCCGTGGTGCTCGTGTCGATCATTGTTCCCTCAGACGATTCACGCCTCCTAGGCGGATCCAGCGTGACTACATCCCCCTTTGTGATTGCTGTCGAAGACGCCGGAATCAAGGGTATTCCCAGTCTCATCAATGCGTGTCTAATCATCGGTATCCTCGCCATCGCTCTTGAAGGCATATTCCTTCCGTCTCGCATCCTCCGCACTATGGCACTTCAAGGACTACTACCCTCGTTTATTGCCAAAGTCGACTATAAAGGTCGTCCAAGATGGGCACTTGCCATTACTGCCGTTGTAGGAGTTACAATCACTTACATGAGCTTGAGCGGTTCGCCCCCTCCCCCAGGCCCCTATTGTAACTCATGCACAACCAACCCTCCCCCAGCATTACTAACGAATAGACTCATAGCTGGCGGTCTCGAAGTCCTCAACTGGCTCATCGCCATAACCAGCGCCTCGTTCTTCACCAACTGGGCCATCATCGCAATCACCTCGTTCCGCTTCCGCGCCGCCATCAAAGCGCAGAACAGCACCCTCCTAACAACTCCAACCTACGCATGGCACTCCCCCCTATGGCCACTGGCCCCAGTCACAGTTCTTATCATATCAACACTACTTCTCGTCTGTATTCTTCACCTGGGAATCAAACCAGTAAGCCAATCCCCATCTCACCATACAGTTCCCTCCGCCTTTGCTTCACTGATGATCTAATGACTAATCGATAATAGATCGACGACTCCTTCTCAGCATACAACTTCTTCTCCTACACCATCGGACTCATATTGATTATCGTTGCCACGGTACTGTATAAGATTATCTTTCGGACCGAGTGGCGCGATCCAAACACTGCTGATTTGGGTACGGGAAGGGCGGTGTTGACTGCGGAAGAGTCTCGGCGGTTGGATGTGTATTATGGTATGCCGAAGTGGAGGCGCGTTGTGGCGTATTTGCGGATGTGGTGATTGTATTTTTGTCTCTGGTAGTTTGTTGGGTGGGTAGTTGGGTGGATGTGTGATATGCTTTGTTTTGTTATACAATTGGTGGTTGATTGCAGATTCGTATGTTGGGCGTACGTGTCTAGATTTTCTTCTCTGCTCCCTGTTTGGTAGTGGTTATATCATCATCTAGCTTAGAGACATAGAGTCGTATCTAGTCAGAAACAGCACGAGTCTAATACCAAAAAGAAACTCGAAGAAATAAAAAGTCAAGTACTAATTCAAGCGCCTAAATCCCATCGTAACCATCCATCCATACATCCGAATATCAATCCAAACTTGTCACCAAAGTCAAAAGCACATAGTATCTCAATCCCAAGAAAAGCCCATACTCATCACACGTTAAACATACAAAACCCCATAATCCATCAAAGAATTCATGGTATCTGGATCAACAAATTAAACACTCCCCTCACTCTCCCCCTTCCTCCTCGACTCCCTCCCCTTCTCCGACCACGGGAAATGAAACACCGGCACAAGAAAGAAACTATTACTGTCGTCCGCGATACCCGCAAGTGCAACATACCAGGCCATAAACGCGCCTAGTAAGGCAAACAACCCACCCGCTTTAATAATCTTCGCGTTGGGCACCTCCGGCGCTGTGCGGTGGATATACCCGACTGCCAGGAGGAGGAGGGCGACATCAACGGCCGCGAAGAGGGCGCAGAAAACGTAGGTTGATTTGAGCGTGCAGAGCCAGAGGAGGAAAGTGAAGATGAACCAGCCCTGTATGTATTTCATTCCAAATTAGCATTGGTGGGGGGGTAATGGGAGTGGGGAGGTGGGGGTGGGCAGTAGTACCATTAAGAATAACCCGAATGCGTCATAGAACATCGACAAGCTGCCATTATTGGCTGCTTTGTAGGCGCCCTGGATGTCGAATCCGCCGGGGATGAAGACTATGGATAGGGAGATCCAGAAGCCGCCGTAGGAGGAGAGCGCGGTTGCGCCGAAGGTGTTTCCGGCCGCCATTTCCCTGGTTTATTTGTTTAGTGGTTATGGTTGGGTGGATGGGAGAATTGAGTTTCTGGGTTGGAGGTAAGTACGTACCACATGCCCGCGAGAAGCTGGACAAGACCCCCGTATGCGAACGCAGGCCCGACGATGATGTTGGGAGTGGCGATTCCCAACGTCTGCATGTTGATGCAGCCCAGGAGGAATGTCGTGAGCGCAAACCCGCATAGGCCTAACGGTGCGGGATTGGCCATCTTACGACGCTTCTGGGGCTTCCATAGACCCGGTTGGAGTTCGCCTGCGAAGGCGGGATAGGTGGTTCCTGCCGTGTTGACGTGGGCGAGGGGCCCGAAGTCGAAGTGGAAGGAGTCATTGGGAGTTGCTGTAGAGGTGTTTGTTCTCACGAGGGTTGGTTCGGTGGTTGGGGGTTTCTCTTGGGAACTGGGGGTGGAAGACTTTGATGTTGAGGGGAAGATGGAGAGGTTGTCTGAAGGCATTCTGTCTTCATTGAGATGGTGAAGAATTGGAAGATAGGGGCTTATACTACTGGGGTCATTGCTATCTAGCTAAATAGGAGAAGGAATGTAGTATCTCCAAGCCAGGGGGCTGTTTGATCGTCTTTCCCAAGCGGGGGATCGACGGGTAGTATCTGGATCGCACATGGCGGCCTGGGGGATTTGAGCTTGATCTTCGATCTAATTGAGTGATGATGCTCGCTGAAGAGATGGGATCTCAAAATTGGGACGAGGTTGATATCATTACTTAGATGCAATGGATGGATGCGCCAGTGGAAATCCGGGGAGGTGCTGGGGCAGTGGAGAGCCAGTGCGGAGAAGCTGTCCGTAGGTGGCCAGGATCAGCGTCATAGACGGGAGGGGAGTGCGAATCAGAGAAGTTCTCGGTCACTGTTACGGTCAACCCCGAGGGGGATTAGGCTTTGCTGAATTGATAGTAAATGTAACCATGCACATGACCATCTTACCTTGACGGTGTCCAATGAATTCGCGTGTGGCTGCTGGTAGGACCAAGTCTCTTCAGGTCGGAGACAAGTGAAGCCGGGGCAGGAACCAAAGAGGAGGAGGATCACGGATGCTGACATTCTTCAACTACCGAGCCTGTAGTGGCCGGGCGTGACCGGTTAGCGTAACTGCCGCCCCGGGCAGGATCGGGTCGGACCCCAACCGACTACCCCGGAGCGGAGGAACAATGTACCATGCATCGGCAAGGAGGTGACCATGGAAGGATAGGAGCAAAATTGGACTGATTCGTAGATGGGACGATGAAGCGGCCAAAATTGGGAAGTCTATTCATTGTTGCGGCCAATTGATTCTTACGTTTGCAACTGGCCCTTGAAGGTGCCAGGTTGCGCAGAAAGCATTCATGCCTAAGGCATATATTTTCCTAACAACAATGGTTGCACAATTTATCAGTACAGGCTTGATTATGAGACATAAGACTTTCAATGGGGAATACAATCCTGCAGTATTTAAATAGATCAAGGACAGAAATTTTGTATTTTAGATGGCTGTTGTTGCGTATTGGAAAGGTCTTTTGCAATTCAAGGTGTTCAGCGTCTTGGGTACTAGTACCCGAGTATGGGGCATAGAGATATATATCTATACTATCAGAACAAATGATGCCATTAATGCCTGATTTTCGACAGTTCAAGTATTTTGACATTTGTCAAAAATAGTTGTATAATACAGATTTAGCTAAAAAGGCCATAGGATGTACAACAACACCAGCAGTATTGTTTCACATTGACTGACTGAAAGGTCCATTGGAAGCAAACCCCCATGGTGAAGGCTTCCGCAATGAGACATCTCCAAATCTATACAACTATCAATAACTGAATCGTGTACAACTAACTCTGACCTATAAGGAATTCCAACCGAAACGATTCTATTGGTCAAAACCAATAGTACTAGTCAAATTTGCTTGATGGTTGATGTTTCGCCTTTGACATAGCCAACAAGTGTACACGGTTCCCCAACAAACGCTGAACCAGGACGAACCACATGCTAGACCCTCCGACTGCAAGGACTGCGCCAATAGGCAACTAGCCAGGAACGGGCCGTGCTAATACCGGGGAAAGACTAATCGAACAGCGTGCAGAGCCCAGTCTAGACCATATTAAGTCCAGTTGGTGCCTTAGGCGATCACAATAGGTAGCCAAGAGACTACTAGGTGGGCTCACTACTGCAACTATGACCTAGTCTGCTCCCTGCCGCAGACGTATCCAAGTATACAAGGTTTGGGAATGTCCGGGGAAGGAATCGGGACGGTCCTGGTGCCCACTCCCGGGGATTTGTTTGTCCCTTAACGGGATCCGCTTGTCAAGGACGGATGGCAATCGTGGTCTTGGAGCTTTGACGACGTGGGAAGTTCCTCGGATGCCTCTTGCGGCTAGCCAGGGGAGAAGAGTCTATCCTTTGTGTCTATTTCTGGTGTATTGGTCAGTTTGCGGTCCACACCACTAAGGCTGGTTCGCACGTGGCTAGGCTACTTGGTGCATAGATCGCAGGCGGGAATGCGCGCCAATGAGGTTTGACTGACTGAGTCAGGCTAGCTCAACGTGTGGAAGGCTGGGTTGGCAGTTGGCGTGAACTATACCAGAGCCCTCGCGTGGAAAACAAGTCTGACACTGTCTACTACTGTACAAATGCTGTTCAACTTGGCTTGGAAGGCGCCAAATTGATGAAAACAACTAAATTGTTTCGAGGGTTGACTAGGCACTATACTGGTATAGTCACATATGGTCTGATGTGTAAAAGAAGTGCCCTGTCACGGCAGTAGATGGTTGATTCTACCGGTAGCTCATCCGCATTTCTTAACTTCACGGAAGAGTGAATCAGAGTCGGCAGCGATGCCGTGTTGGGAGGGAAGAGGGTAGATCCACTCCCCCGGCTTACAATCATACGACATCCAGGGGTAGCCGTGGTTAATCACCACCCCGGATACTGCCCTATAGTGCAGCGTGGTCAACCTGGGGTCATTCTTCCCGGGGCATCGGTATGCCGCCCCGCTTGTCAATCCCGAGATTAAGGATGGCACGTGCCCAACGGCAACGGGGTCCTGCCCGGATGCCGGTCTCATATCGGCTTCGAGGCCGGAAAGGGTCAGCGCCAATTAGAGCCCGTCAAAAAGTAAAGGCGCACACACCGCTGTCCTCTTTGGGGAAGAGCGCAGGTTTTTGTTTTTCCCCCCGGCAGTCACCCCGCCCCCGCCCCCGGATTGCCAGCCGTCGACTTGCCGGCAGAATTATGAGCAGCATAGAGGGATTGCCAGGACATTGATCGTGACAGGTTCTTCTGTATTCACTATGAGAGCTAAAACCCCGATAGAAATGAAGTACCTTGTGTGTTTGTTAATGATGGTATGTAAGATGCCAATTAAATTGGGGAGAGATCGAAGAGCTGACAAAAGGCTCAACTACGTCCCAAAGTAGGATTACTACTTGAAATATCTTGATTGGTCCACACGATGAGGATGCTGTGCATAGAACCCCTAGTTCAGAAGTAAAATCAGCCCATTGCCAACAAGGCTGTTGGTCAGTAGGTGAATTGGCAGGGCGGAAAAACAGTTCGTCGAGGAGGCGTCAGTCTGGATAGGAAGGCGGAGAGCTGGAGAAGGCAGGGAGCACTTACCCGCGGGTAAGAGCAACCCCGGGGATCATCGCGCAGCAATGCAGTTTGATATCAAAATCAATTATCGATTTTGATATGCAGGTAATCTTGCTAATTCGGCAAGGCAAATGCAACCTGCCGTCGTTCGGCTGTTCCCACTACGAACTGCGAAAACTGAAACATCGCATCATGCAACCCATCAGATCCGTCGGCATGTGGCAACGGTAACTTTGGGTGTCTGGTACCGTCGCACTGTCCCCACACGGAGTTGTAGCCGATCGATTTGCCGTCGCTCGCCGTTCTATCCAGACTTGCCACGACCAAATTCATCGTGTATATAGACCCTCCAGACCTCGCTGAGTTTTTGTCTCCCATCATTCTACATCTCACTCCTCTCTTAACCTTTACCTTCTACCTTTCTCCTCTTTATACCACACATACACACACAGACAACATGTCTACCAACCGCCGCTTCGACCCTAACTTCACTCCCTATGTGGTCAACTCTATGGGACCCAAGACCCCCGAGCGTGCTCGTGTGGTCCTTGGCGCCCTGATCAGACACATCCACGACTTCGCTCGTGAGGTTGAGCTTACCTCCGCCGAGTGGATGCTTGGTGTCGAGTTCATCAACTCTATCGGAAAGATCAGCACTCCCATCCGTAACGAGTGCCACCGTATCTGCGATGTCATCGGTCTGGAATCGTAAGTCCACCTCACAAAAAATAGCGATCGCACCAGACTCAAAAGCTAATTATCATCTCCCCACAGTCTTGTCGATGAGATCGCCAACAAGATCATCACTGAGGAGGGTGTCTCCCCCACCTCCAACGTTATTCTCGGTCCCTTCTGGTCTCCCAACGCTCCCTTCCGTGAGCTGGGCGACAGCATCATTCAAGATCCCAACCCCAACGGAAAGGTCACCTTCATGCACGGTGTTTTGAAGGACATGGAGACTGGTGCTCCCATCGTCGGTGCCGTTCTTGACATCTGGCAAGCCTCCGCCAACGGCCAGTACGACTTCCAGGACCCCAACCAGACCGAGAACAACCTCCGCGGCAAGTTCCGCTCCAACGAGAAGGGCGAGTTCTGGTGGTACTGCTACCACCCCACTCCTTACTCTCTCCCCACCGACGGTCCCGCCGGTGTTCTCCTCAACCTCATGGACCGCTCTCCCATGCGTCCTGCCCACATTCACTTGATGATCACCCACCCCGACTACGCCACCGTCATCAACCAGATCTACCCCTCCGACGACCCTCACCTCGACATCGACTCCGTCTTCGCCGTCAAGGACGACCTGGTTGTCGACTTCAAGCCCAAGACCGATGACCCCAAGGCCCAGCTTGACCTGGAGTACAACGTCACCATGGCTCTGAAGAAGCACCACCCCAACCCCAACTCCGCTCCCCCGGTCTCCTCCTTCGAGCGGTTCAACAAGGCCAGCAAGACCCAGGAGAAGCTGTAAAAAATAAACAGAAACACATGCCATTCTTTGGTGATATGAAGCATTTGATGTACATAGTTTTGCATTTGTCGAACTTTCAGCGATGACCCTTGGACATACTGTTTGAATACAGATTTTTTCATACCCTTCACACATGGAACTTCTAGCGCCATGGTATTTAGTAGACCCACATAGGTCTTTGACTGCACTTCGAGAAGATCATAGCACCTGCATAAGCACACTGGGTCCAGTGCGGGGTCCCCAGGCCAAGCCCCCGCAAATCGGATCCTGGCCAATGTCATCATCATCAGGGGAAACTCCCTTCCACCTTCCTTTGCTAGTAGCAGTAGCACTCATTTTCTTAATTAGTCTCCACACAGTCGCTCCTAATGCCAGTAACGAAGAAATAAGGTTTCTCTTATGT